AAAAGTTTTACAGTTTGATAATTTTTGATTGGATCAAGTCCCATTCGAGTTATGTGGGTACCATCGTTATTCCGAACGATGACCTCGGTCGAAGAAGACTATGGTAGTTATACCGCGAGTAAGTTGAATGCTAATTTAAATAAACACGAGCGCACTACTCACTGCATGCCGTTAAACGCACGTGTTAACACGTTTTCCGTCGATAGGCGAGACACCAGAATATTTACAAATTCCGAAAACTACTGGGTAAAAGCAAATCGCGATCCAAATTTATCATTCCAGGCGTACTCGTGCTAAAGACCTGTCACGCTTCACGTAAACGACTTCGAAGCGATAGGTGGATAATGAATTACTATCCTAATGCATCATGAATTATTCAACGCAGCTAATAGCACGTTAACTTGTCATCATTAAATAACTTCTATTCATACATCTCATTCTAAATCAGTGTGTGGAAAAACCTTTTCTTCAGTTGTGTCAATTCAGTAAATGAGAGATAAATTAAATTAGGGAAATAATGAATGAATGATTGTTCAATTTTAAGAGTTCGATAACTAGCTACAAATTTTTTAAGGACGTGGCCATGGTAGCGGCGCTAAAATGATTAATAAAAACATTTCTTTTTACATTAAAAAGAAATAATTTAATGCAAAATTAAATAAAAGCACTTTTCAATTAAGACTTAAAGTAATTAAAAAAAATTCTGTATTTTTTCGGCTCCAAATGGCTATGTACTAAATTGTTCGAGTCATGTTTTTAATTTTAGCACAGCTACCGTGGCCATACCTCTTACAACGACCTTTATGCCTAAGAGTAAGTGTAATAAATTACTACCCTATGTACTATTGATTTATTATGCAATAAAACTGTAGACTACACAGTTAGCAGCTTGTCACGAACAGGATGGAAAGAAAAAGGTGAAACAAAGGGACATTAAATTCATATTGTGGAACAGGCTCGCGTTAAAAACGAAACAGTCCACGGAAAGAGTTATATAATTATGCTTGCCTGTTGGACCGAGTCCAGGAAGTTTTTCGTGTGACACAAGTCGCCACGTGCTAGCTCTTGGTTGAGGGCACGGGCATCCGCAGCGTCCGCGAGACACGATAGGGTTTCGCGGACGTCCTCGAGACGTTGTCCAAGAGCCTCCACCTCGCAATGCAAAGGTCCGCTCGCGTCCAGGCCGACGTCTGACGCGATCTGCGCCACTAGCCCTCGGAGCTCTGCCAACCTCTCCTTGTGTTCTGCCATCGTCTCTTCACAAACCTATAATAAATAGAAGGTTCTTGAAATCACTGTCTAAGATTGTAGTTATTAAAAGTAATATTTTTTACTTAATCTTTTCTCTGAATGAAATAATTTTCAACTTAAGGAAAGTGTTTGATTTTTTTTTATTACCATGGTGATAGCAGATGTTTAAATGAAGATTATGATAAGAAGGTTTAGGTGAATTCGTTTAAACGAAAGAACCGATGAACGAATGAAAAAAAGGAAGTTCCGAATATTTAATGCTCCTCTTTGAATTAAAAAGTCATCCATACATATGCATATGTATATGATATTACTCCAAGTACGACCATTATTATCTTGACTCTTGTCTCTCTAAATTAACGGTCACGGTTAGCTCCGGTATAATTAAAATGTTTTCGTGTCGCACTATCCTTATCATAGCTTCATGTACGGTTTGAGATTCCAGAAACCTGTTAACTACATGCTAAAGATAGGGGAGCTGACCGTACCGCTAAAAATAAATGTTTGTGGCTTGAGAAAAAAGTGGAGATACGAAGGCTGACAAAAGTATAAGCTCTCAGTATGAATCTGTTTTTTTAAATTTGAATTTCATCTGTGATTCGACACAGCCATAGACGCACTGACGACAGGTCGCGACGACGTAGGACGTAGGAGAATGTTCATGAATGGATGACGCGCGCAGAAATGAATGGTAGGGACGAATGAATGGGAGAGAGAGAGAGAGAGAGAGAGAGAGAAAAAGAGAGAACATATGAAAAAGTCAGTGAAGCAAGTGACAGGTGCTAGTCGATTGAGCTTTCGGCAGGGCTTCAATGAAGCTGTCAAAATTTTCAATTAATTATAAAATTATTCTAATTTTATAACTATTATTTTTTTTGTTCGGAGAAAACTTATAAAATGGAATATATTAAATTAAACTTTGTAATACGCTTCTGTGTAAATAAGAAACTCTCTTCTCTTTGAGAATAGAAAGAAGTTTTAGTTGAACAATTGAGTATTTATTCTGGTTTGAAGAAGTTATGACAGGCAGATTTTCTGAAAATATTATGGTGTAGTCGTATATATATATATTAAGTTCTTAGTCGCTCTTAATCTTCGTGTTTGAACATATTAAATTCAGTGAAATCTGTGATTGTATCTTAGAAGTCGTATAGAATCATACGTACACTTATTAGAATTCATTTATCAATGAAACGGACCTTTTTCAGAACCAGTGACGCGAGAACATATGGTATTCAATACTTCAACCATGTATTATCACATAATTGCATTTATTGATAAGAAGTCTTTGGAGCACTATGAGCAGACAAAAGCAAACTAGAATTGATCAGATTAAGTAACGTAGAGTGCCACGAAAAGATCCTCCGCACATAGTCAATTCCAGTTCGTTCCATTACAAAATCCTATTTCGCTTCGCGAACATATAAAGTTATCGAAACATGATGAAATTTAAATAAATGTAGTCAGAGTCGACATTGCACGTAATAAAGTGCAAAAAATAAAAGGTGGCGAGGATCGATAATCCGGCACAGATTCACAAGAGAAACATAACGCCCTTCCGCGCAGTATGTACCCCTCCGATCGTACCTTCATTTCCTCGGGCGTACACATGATTCTTAATTTAGGTCACCGTGCATCGTTCCTATTTTTCACGCCGCGTCACGCGCGTTGTACTCTCGCTAGAACGGAGCGGATTGGACACGTGCTGCACGGACTTCCAGCGCATGTTTCGAATTTTCGATTAACCGGAAACCGGGCACCGCTTCTGGCCACCACCGTTGGCTCTGCGCGCATAATTGCGCGGCCTCTCGGCGAGCACGCCGAGATTTCAAACGCGATGCACGCGTTCCGTCGCGTCGCGTGAAACGATAATAACGCACGGAAAACGCGAGCAGATAGCACGGACGAGAATAACTCTGGGAATGCAGAGAAACTAAGCGTCTCGCCGTTCTGGACCAGACTGGCCTGACTGGCGTCCTCGTCTCCGGGGATCGATGCGCATACCCCAGATCTGAGTGGGGAGAAGACTCCGTATATTTCAACGACCTACCCTCGCTCGCAGCCACGTTTCGGAACACTTATGTGTTAGGGTGAATCGTGCCTAGTCGCGTCATGCGGCACTTATTGTTAGTCTATGGTGGGGACGATGATATCCCGAGGCTTCTGTTCAAAGGAGCCTGTGTCTGTATAGGCTTAGTAGCTTTTTCAACGATGTTTCTAGGGAAGGGTGGAGTCAGGGATCACTGCCATATGTAACGTTAGGGATGATATTTCTTGGTGGGTATTGGTCATTCTTTATGCTTTTATATTATAATTTCAGATGATGATTTATTAGTTTCTCATTAATTTATGATTTTTTTTCCTTAAAATAAAACAGTTTAATAATGAATATTATATCATCGATTTCTAATGCATTATAACGATAGTATTCGAAACTGGCATAAATCGTCATGTTTTTGCCGAAGTACTTTACGCTAAACTAACAATGGGAGCATACTAATTGTAAGCGGTTCCATCGATTAAAGATTTACTTTGCAAACGTTTAAACTCATAAGGTATTCGATGTTTGCTCGGATTGCTCTTTCACATCTACGTGCCTAACCGAAACTTGCAAAACATTTGATTAGTTTATCACGTTTGCCTAGTCGGTTTACTACCTTCTCCAATTCATTAGGCACAGTAAGTAAATGAGTCACGTCGGCTAAGATAATATAACTCTGAAAAGAGTTGAAACATAATTGTTTTGAATGTTAACCGTAAATTCACGAAAGTTGTCCACATTTCGTTTTTGTTCATTTTAACCCAAATTTTTCTTCCCAGTTTTATGATAACGCGGTATCTCGTGTTTCCTCTAGTATAGATAAGTTCAAAGCATCGCCCTGAAGAGATAGAGAGAGTGTATGTGTGTGTGCGTGTGTGAGAGAGAGAGAGAGAGAGAATGGCAGCCAGTATTAAACTGACTAACGAAGCAGATGTGTAAATTTTGAAATTGGAGGGATCTCTCCTATCTCTTTCGAGGTTCTATCGTATTATATTTACAAGAAATATGAGTAGGGTAACTGTCCTAGTAGCTGATCACTTTACAAAATGTATATATTAATAAAATGCAATTCTATCCTAAAGAATGACTGCTTTGAATATATGTAATTGCTTGTTCAAAATTTTAATATAAAAAACTAAGTACTGGATGCTCATCGGGCTCATTCATTTTAATTCATTTCCAGAAGGGATGACTATTTGGTAGGGAGGCTGAAATAAGAGACACTACCTTGATATGTTTGACGGCCTCTTCGGGTGGCAGGTTGGCGACACTGTCCATCTGCGTGTCCACCCAGGCTTTGACCGCTGCGCTCGAGTCTTTGTACTGTTGCCACAATCTGCATGCGTGTTGATACTTGGTGCAAAGGGCATCTAATTCGGCCCTGGTGTCTTCCCAGGCCTGTACGGCCTCATTTACCGCCGCCTCGACCTTCTCGCGGACCTCTGCAGCGCAACCCTCCCGCAGAGGTTCGGCAGCCTCCCGCAATTCGCCAATGAGAACTTCGCGCGCGCCCAAATCACCGCTGAGACCCTGAAAACAGGACAAAAAGTATCGTTAACGTCCTTTCTCTTTCGTTTTCTGAACTGATCTCTTCACAAATTGTTAGGTCACTGAATGTAGAGTACGAGTCAGTAAGAAATAATCATGTAATGTGATTCACTAGTTGGTAATTTCATTATAAAGACTGATACCAATATATTTATTCAGAATGCAAGTACATATTTATTAAATGATCTTCGTCATACAAATAAATTCGTAGACAGCATAAAATCATTAAACAACTAGTTATTGTATGTGCTATTGTGTGTATATATGATACTTCTTATTGACTCATCCTGTGTGTATTTAATCTTTGCAGTAAACATTTTAGTTATAATAATACGAAAATCTAATCTTTTTCCTATATTTCTTATGAATCATCGACGTTAGCAACTGTTACTATTCTATACAATATTCTTTATCTTTAATGAAATATCAATTTTCTCAGGAAGAGGAACAATGGGAATTAGATCTGATAGTTAGTTAAGTTCCCGTATGTCTATTCTATTGAGCCGTTACAAGCGTATCAGTTAAGCTTATTTATTAATCCATGTGCCACAACGCGAATCGAAGGAGCGAGCTCGGTTATTTTATTGGGTCTTGAGTTCAACGAAACATTAATTGAGTTTGTAAAGGCCGATTGCCCGCCTCCGTGTCGGCCGCTATTGCTTTCTTCTTGCAACAGCCGATATGTCAGTATTTCATATGTTAATGCGGGAATAACGCAATCGAGGATAACGCGTTGGTCCCGTGATTTCATCGTTTATACGAGCCGCCGCGCACATCGAACCGTTTCGAACTAGGGAAAATACACTTTGCACGCATTTCATGCTTATTGCGAATGATTAAAATTATCTGTGACGTACGTCCTATGATATTCTACATCGATACGATGCGGCTCACGGTTCGTTCCTTTCCATCACGTGGAATCGTGAACAACTTGAATTACAGCGGAATTAATAGATACATATATTATGTAGTGTATACGAGGGAAAAAAGGAAGTTCGACATTGTCCTATTGTTTTGTATAAATGGTTAATTGTAGACACGGTAAACGTATGCAACGTACATACATACATATTGTTCGTCCAATGGCCTTGGTTAATTGCGACCATCGTAACTATTAACCTGGGAGACCTTAGGAAAACGTTTCCTAATTCGTATTCATTGTCTATTACTTCGTATATGTTAATATATTCTATTCTCAAATGCAAACATTTATAAAATAAACGTTTACAATCCTTCGCTTAATTATTACGCAAAAATAAAGAATTTTTTTCTCTTTTTACACTTTACATCTAATTTAGATTTGTCTCGGTGACTTTGGAAATTAATATTCAAACGCGACACATTATATACCACCGATTAGAATAGCTAAGATTTTGCAAAAGTATTTATGAACCATGTATGTCAGAAATACCAGAATATACAACATATTTTATACTTTATGTCACCTGAACGCGTAAAGATGTTTAAAAGAAAGTGAACGTTCGTGCATGCCAACACTTTTTTGACCCACTGTACGTACTATAAATAATTTTGAGTCACGAGACCGAGAGCACGTTTCGGGCCGTGAATTCGGTCAAAGCGTGGTTGGACTAATTTTGCGTCGTGTACTCGAGTTCGTTCACCCGACTGAGAATTTTTCGGGGAAACTGTAAGCGGAAATCGAAACTCCGATTCAGTTCAATTCCGTATAACAGTTTTCCATTTTATGACAAACAAATGTACCTAAGTGGTACTTAAGCAATTCAGAAACAATTTCATTTCCTGTGCGAGTTAGTTTACTTATTTTCTGCACTGTAATATTCGTACCGAGTTTTATTATCCTGGAAACGTATTTTAGTTCCATGCATATGTTTGCAAACTTTTTATGATAATTGCACCATTGATCTTTTTAATCGACGAATACAAATTTCGTAATGAAGTGGGTTTATTCCGAAAGACGAGTTAGACATAATTAATCTGAATGATAATGAATAATGTATAATAGTGGATAAATTCGTGCCACAGTGTGTGATGCACTTGTCAATTTCAACAGAGCTGATCAATTTTTCACTAGGCCGGAAGTTACTAAATGCACGAAATTGCGGCTGCGGAATCGCGATACGTAACGGAACAGGAAGTTGAGGCTGGTCCCGAGTTTCCGCCTGGCACACAGCGCATCTCTACAATATTACTCATATAATTGGATATTTAAAATACAAGTGTTATGATATAATTTCTGCTATTACCATTAGCGGTATAATTTTTTTTTGTTATTTTAACTTTCTTCATTCGTGTACTCTATCATGTGACTTTACTTTTTAATTTACAACAATTTGGTATAAAAATATTTTAATAAAACGAATACCCAAAACGTAAACGTGTATGAATTTCCATATTTGATTATTCAATAGAAAAATAAAAGCGATATAAAACAGAGGTAAAAATACCGATAGCTTGAGAAACATACATAAGTATAGTAAAAATGTCGTAAAGCCTTGCAGTTTTTCATAGTTATCGCCAAATTATAACTTCGGCTTCGATTCTCAAATTCGTCACTGATAATTTCGACTCGTGGAACGTATAACTTAAAAGGATTGCCAGAACGAGGGAATCGTAAACATTAGCTCTCTTCGAGTCTAAAACCGGGCTTTTCCACGTGGCATAGTTTACATACCGTATCACTGCGTCATGCGTCTCAACCATCGTGCTCGTTTATGTCATTCCGTAATTATATCAAAATGGATTAGCGAGCTACGTCTGCGGCGTGTTCTCTCCATTTATGTATTTAAACACATAAATTTGTTGCCGTATTTGTTGCACACTTTAGTCAAATAAATGCGTACATTTTTACTATCTTCGTTAGTTCTTAATGAATGCACGCTTTGCTTCGCTCTGCATTAAGCACGTCGACTAAACACTATCTCCCTTGAATGGTTCAGTTCTTATTGAATACATGGACCAATTCTGCTTAAAACGCATCGTCGCTAATTAAGTGTCACGTAGAATTAACAAATTTCATGGTACCGTGCCTTCGTCTGACAGATATGTAAATGAGGAATTATGCTCGACGACTTGATATCCGTTATTCAAGGACGATTCATTTCGCCTGACCTGTTGTTGATTACGATGATTACCCCGTAGATAACCGTGTCATTTCAATCACGCATTAGCGTTTTTTAAATGCGATTAATCATTTCTCTCGACAAGGAAAACACAAGTCATCTACAGTAAAAGTTATGTCATTTACTTCATTGAAAGTGAAAAGAGTAAATTCCGATCTGTAGCATACAGCTGTTGACTATGTCCCCTCCAAAAACATCTGTTTGGGTATGTTCCGCTAGTATATTTTTTGGACTACGTTCTCGTTTTTGTATATAACGATAGGAACAAAATTCCAGAAAATGTTTTTGTTAGGTACGTAGGTAGAATAACAAATCTGTGAATTGTTTAATAAATGTATGATGGATATTCACGCGATAAATCAGAGATTTCAAAAATATCATTTTAAAGTACTTTAAAATCTCCATTGTATAATCTAGTCAGAGAACAAACGTATTCATATAATAGGATTTTCATATAATACAGAAACAAATTCCCAAAACGTAAACGTGTATGAATTTCCATATTTGATTATTCAATAGAAAAATAAAAGCGATATAAAACAGAGGTAAAAATACCGATAGCTTGAGAAACATACATAAGTATAGTAAAAATGTCGTAAAGCCTTGCAGTTTTTCATAGTTATCGCCAAATTATAACTTCGGCTTCGATTCTCAAATTCGTCACTGATAATTTCGACTCGTGGAACGTATAACTTAAAAGGATTGCCAGAACGAGGGAATCGTAAACATTAGCTCTCTTCGAGTCTAAAACCGGGCTTTTCCACGTGGCATAGTTTACATACCGTATCACTGCGTCATGCGTCTCAACCATCGTGCTCGTTTATGTCATTCCGTAATTATATCAAAATGGATTAGCGAGCTACGTCTGCGGCGTGTTCTCTCCATTTATGTATTTAAACACATAAATTTGTTGCCGTATTTGTTGCACACTTTAGTCAAATAAATGCGTACATTTTTACTATCTTCGTTAGTTCTTAATGAATGCACGCTTTGCTTCGCTCTGCATTAAGCACGTCGACTAAACACTATCTCCCTTGAATGGTTCAGTTCTTATTGAATACATGGACCAATTCTGCTTAAAACGCATCGTCGCTAATTAAGTGTCACGTAGAATTAACAAATTTCATGGTACCGTGCCTTCGTCTGACAGATATGTAAATGAGGAATTATGCTCGACGACTTGATATCCGTTATTCAAGGACGATTCATTTCGCCTGACCTGTTGTTGATTACGATGATTACCCCGTAGATAACCGTGTCATTTCAATCACGCATTAGCGTTTTTTAAATGCGATTAATCATTTCTCTCGACAAGGAAAACACAAGTCATCTACAGTAAAAGTTATGTCATTTACTTCATTGAAAGTGAAAAGAGTAAATTCCGATCTGTAGCATACAGCTGTTGACTATGTCCCCTCCAAAAACATCTGTTTGGGTATGTTCCGCTAGTATATTTTTTGGACTACGTTCTCGTTTTTGTATATAACGATAGGAACAAAATTCCAGAAAATGTTTTTGTTAGGTACGTAGGTAGAATAACAAATCTGTGAATTGTTTAATAAATGTATGATGGATATTCACGCGATAAATCAGAGATTTCAAAAATATCATTTTAAAGTACTTTAAAATCTCCATTGTATAATCTAGTCAGAGAACAAACGTATTCATATAATAGGATTTTCATATAATACAGAAACAAATGTGCACACAAGCATTTTGTATGTTTACATACGATATTGTAATAAGAAATATACTGTTTAGATAATAGATATTCATATAATGGAGGTTCTATTATAATACGAAGTTTGGCAGTTTTAAAGAACGACAAAAGGAAACAATTTTTCAATAAAAGCAATTTTCATAAAAATGTATTAAATCTTTGTTACGTATTATAACGCAATAATGAGACGAATTCGATTCGAGCAGTGTTTTCGGCTAAGCCATTTGTTATGAATATTCAATGCTCACTTCCGATCAGCCAATTCGATTCGTTGTCGTATGTATACTCGCATCCTCGACTGTCCGTCGCGATCGCGATCGTTTGCATCGATCGTCTACGTCAATCGCGTCACCACTGTTCCTCATTCTTCATCTCACATCAAAGTTGATCAATCATCATGAATAGAATTTAACTAATACACCTCCTCGCGTGTCACTTTAAATGTCACCGAAAGCAATGAGATTCTTTCAAACGCGCGCGCGAGATGAGTCCGCGACGACGGTACTCGTGCCACTGATAGAGTAAGCGACCCTCGATAACACCGATCCCGGGCTCGCGTGCGAATAGCGCTTGCGCATCGTTTAAAATGCGCATATAACTACGTACTATAAGTTCCTCTTTCGCACGTGGCGAAGGTTATTACGGAGGAAAGTGCGTCTTCCGGTGAGAGAGACTGTCGATCGATCGATTGCCAATCAAACCAAAGCTGAAATAAGTGCAAACGTGCGGAAGTGTGTTTTGCTCTCTGTATGTAAATTATATACACTTTTATATATATCCCGATTGATCGAATTTTTACCTCCTGCATTTCTATTTAATGATTCACTATATGACATTTCAAACTAGAAGAATATAGACTCTTTAATATAAACTGGGATTGAATGAATTACATGTTATTGTAAGTTTAATAATTGCGATTTTGTAGCTATCATTTTCTTTAATCCGAGAAAACTGTTATAGAATTTAGTATATTAAGTGAATCTTTCATGCCATATGCTTCTTGCACTTTCGCAATTGAAAGGTATATTTGAGAAGCCACATGTGAGACACCATGTACGCAACAGCTATTTCCAATAGAGTTGATTAATTTGACTGTATGATCAACTTAATGATCGGATTTCCGAAATAGGAACTCGTAACAGAATGTGTTTGAACGTTATTCGTCTATAGAACAGGTAAGTTCCCTCAATCGCAGCGAGCGATTGAAAGCGTCGAGGGCGCGCGAAATCAGGCCGGTCGATACCATCACATCGGGTTAGTTATTCAAACTTGTGCAAGTTTTAACGCATTCCGGGACTTTCAAGGAATGTTCGAACACACGATCCGCGGTATATACCGTAAATCTTGAATGCCTCGGATCGTTTGGACTTGCGATTTCATTGCTTCGATTAAAATTCTTTAATCAACGTAACAATCTGTCCCTAATTATCAAATTGTATAATTGTAGAAAACTTACCTCCAGTCTTTCAGTGGCCTTCAGCAACCTGTCGTAGTCGACAGATCCTTGAACGGTTAATAACTCCATCATGTAATCAGCCTCCTGAACCGATTGTTGCACCATTTCCAACTGTCTCTCGAATCTCCTCCACAAAGCGAGTCTGTTCTTCAGCAATGTTAACAGTCTGGTACACCTGGCCTCCAAGTCCGTGTGCGCGTCCTGAAGATTCGAGATGTCTCGTTCCACGCTCACTGGAGACACCGAGACTCTCATCACGGTGGGCAGAGTGTGCAGTAATTGTCTGAGTCCCATGATATCTTGCCATAAATTCGCGAGTTCGTCGGCGACCGTTTGGCAACGATCGACGGCAGCGGCGACCATCTCGCTTCCCTGTCGCTCGCTTCCCTCGCATTGATCCAATATAGATGATTGCCGTTGATGAGCTTTCCTGACACGAGTCAGCCCTCGCTGGATGGCCTGAAGCCTTTCCCTGAGTAACTGCGCAGCGTCCAACTCTTCGCTGATCTGGCCTTCGATTCTGCGCGCCGATGATAACAGCACGCCTACTTTCTCGTTCTCCGCGACCGGAAGCAAGCCCAACCGGCCCAATTCGTCTTGAATCAACGAAATCCTGTCGAAAAGTACGGTCAGTCGTTCGATGTAGAGATCCAATTCCTCCTCGGTTTTCAAAACACCGTGGAAACCGTCGATGGTTACGCGCAACTCGTTCAATTCTCTCTCGAGTAGTTTCAGCTTCTCGTTGGACGATATTTCCTCGGAAGAAATGTTTCGCGTCACCTCTTCCTGGATTTTATTAATTCGTTGGCTCACGTCGTTCCATCGGTCCTGAACCTCACGATGGAACTGTCTTTGTAACATCTCATCTGACAGTGGGATTATTCTGAGGGCTTGTTCGAAGCTGTTGCTCGCTTCCTCTCGAATATTGTTGTGGACTTCGTACTGTGCTTTCATTTCCTAATCAAAATTATTTCACATTTATAGTTTATTCTTCAACCGTGTTATTAACGTATAATTGACATAAAACTGCTGATTTATATTAAAATAGTCAATTAAAAATATGTCTTTCAAATAAAAATATCTTATATAACTTAATTAAGGTCTTTAATTTCTTTACTGACTTTATATTTTACATTGCTTACCCAGAACTGACGTATGTGACCTCCTGATGGATCATGAAGTTTCTTCAATTCCCTTTCCGCTGACGTCATCCAGTTCTCCAGTCGGTTTATCAGAATTTCCTGATTGACCCAGCTATCTCTGAACGCCATCAATCTTCTCAACGACGATTCTACGTTATCCTGTAGCTTCAGGATCACATCTAAGGCTTCGCCGTAACGATCCTCAGGGTCCTCGATGTTGACCAGATCTTGTAAACTACGCGCCACGTTCAGGAGTTGAATAAGCCGTGCGTGATGCGTTGCGACATCCGTTGCGAGTGACTGAAAGATAAATCGAGAATTCGCGGTATTATTCTATCAGTGAAAATTGATACGTGTCAAACATTAACGTGTAATCTTATTTATAAATAGAATTGTTTTTAATCAAATTAACTCCTAATTACTATTTATGTATACGCAATTTTTCACGTTCATTTTGAAATTGTATTTCTCTATAGGTTTCGGCCTCTGACATTATTTAAATTTTATTAATATGTACCTGATACAATGAGATGTATTGATCGTAGTCCGAGGAAGTGACCGTCTGCAGGTCAGGGACGCGTTGATGGGCAACTTGAAGCCATCCCCGTTCCTCTTTCACTCCCTGTTCCAAGAGGATCCATCTGGACGCGGCTAAAGCCATTTGCTGAGCTCTAGATGCAGCTTGATCTAACAACGATATCGCCCTACTATGCAGTTCCTCATGGAGATCCGAATATTTGGTTCTCGTTTCCGGGTCTAAGTTGCCCTCCAACGATTCCAAGATTGCTCGGCAGTGGTTCAGATTCACGAAGAACTTCCTGTGTTTCTGCATCTCTTCCTGAAGGTGTTCCAAACTCATCACGGAGATCGGGCTTCCCAATAAATTTTCCGCGATCTCGGTGATCTGAGCGAACTCTCGAAGAGTCTGCTCGTATTCCTCGGCCAGGGATAGCAGCTGCAGGAGACGCTCGCGTTCGATGGATATTCCGTGTTCGATCATTTTGGTCATCTCGTGAGCCGCGTAACACTCCTCAGGAATATGTTTCCCTGGGTACTCGCGCAGTAATTCATGCGAGGCTCTTAGCAAGGCCGCCGTTTTCCACGTGTGACATTGATTCATGCTTTCCAGTTTGTCCAGTTCTTGAAGCTTCCACCTCGTCGACGCTTCCAATTCGATTATGTCGTCCAATCGTCTGCGTTGTTCTTCGATTAACCTGCCATATTATACATCGTAGAGTAAAAAATATTCATCATGCTAATTTAAATCGAACTTTATAAAACTTACCTGTACATGTTACGCACTCCGTTCACAAATTCGTCCCATCTGGCGAGCTCACTGCTGCGATGCTTTTCACCGTCGATGGTCGCGTCCTCGATCATTTTCACCTGGTGTACCAGAGCATCGAGACACTCTTGCAGACTGTTACGATCGTTACTGGAATAATTGGTTTCCACCGTTCTCCAAATGTTATTCAACTCTTGAATGTTCTCTTCTACGTTCTCCACTTCGTCTTTCAATTCGTCGTAGGTTTTGTCGTCGTGAGAAGGACCGGCGGGACATTCTTTACTCAAGAAGATTCTGTATTCGATTGTCTCCAACCATGTGGAAATCGTCTCCACGATCACGACCATAGTTTCCTCCATAGTGACCGCGTCCTTCTCTTGCGCAGCATCCCTTAAGTGAGACAGTTCTTTTCTTACGTCCGCAGCTCGCTCTTCGGCTAATTTTTCATTTGCCATTTGATCCAAGTGAGCAATCCGAAGAATATTTCCTAGGTGACTCGGTTGCGTAGCGTTGCGAAGATTCTGCATCCGATCGGAGATTGCCTTGGTAGTTTGACTGCTTTGAGTGAGCTGAAGTTGAGGCTCGTACTCCATGGATTCGGCAAGTATAAACGCTTTTGAACTGGAAGCCATCAATGGGGTCGCATGATGGGCTAATTCCCATGAAGGTTGATCTGTTTTCTTAGAAGATTCGCTAATGATGTCTGCGTAGGTTTTTATCTTAGGCCGATCATCCTCTTCAGCCACTGATTCTATAGGAGAGAATGTCTCCTCCGTTGTATCCATTGGCTCGGGAGAGAGCACTTCTGGAACCATTGGAACTTGTACTTCCGATTTCACATCCCCTTCTGTTTTACCCAAGTTCCATATGTCCTGAGTATCTTTTATCATTACTGGTTCTGTCGTCGTCATGAATGAGGTAGAACTTTGTACACGTGCTTGTAATTCGTCTCCTTTTTTTTCGAGTGTCAGCTTAGAATCTTCCTTCCGTGCAATCTCATCGTCAGAAGTTTTGTCTAAATCGTCACCAGAAGGGTGCCTCTCTTTACCCACGTTTCTTTTAGCAACGTCGGAATAAGACAATCTCAAGGACAAATCCCGTGATTCTAAAGGTTGTCCGAATATGGACTCCAGATCCTTGTCACCGGTGGAAATTTCGATGGTTTTGTGCCTTCTCTTTCGCTTCTGTCTCTTTCCAACGCTAGTATCTACCGGCTTATCTGCTATACTTAAATCTTCGGTAGTAGTCGTATCTTGTGAAGTATCTGTTAATTTACTGGTAGTATCGGTAGCGTCACTGGATAATTCTATGGTTGCCTGCAAATGTATCTCGAATCCATGGTCTCTCCCTAATGGAGACGACTCTTCACGCTCTTTCTTAGGTGCCATTTTTTCACCAAGTGTCTGTACATGCTCTTCCTCCTTTGTTTCACCTATCTTCGCAATCGTCTCCCAAACAGACGCTGGTTTCGTTATATCCTCCGCTCTCGTTGCTTCCGAGAGCTCTTCAATATTTTGTACTTCTACATCAGGTGCTACTGGAATTTTTGTAAGCTTCGGAGGTGTCATCACATCCGTCGACGCGTCCACCACGTCTTTTGTAATCTCTATCACGTTACCTTCTTCGTCCTTAACTATCACTCCCTTTTCTTCTTTCAGCGTTGCATCCGTTTGTTGGGAAACCGCCACCATTGACTTCTTTCTCTCGGCACTAGTCTGTGCTTCATCCTCGCGAGTTTCCGGAATAATCTGCACGCTTTCTTCAACGTGCGGTACTATTTCAATCGTCTTTATCTGTACCGAACTCTCCGACGTTCTTATTACCTCTGGCGTTGCAGTTTGTGACTGTTCATCCACCAACTCTTTGACATCCTCCAAGCTAGTCTGAGCAGATAGTTCACAAACGTTCATTTTATCCGGGGAAACTGGACTCGTTTGAATCATGGTTTCTCGAAGCGGTTCAGGTTGAATTGTCTGCGACTCCACTTCCTGAGTTTCAATTTGTCGCGGACTTTCTTCGGGACTAGTCTGTGTTTCTACAACTTCGAGCGGAGGCTGTTCTATCAAATCCGCTTGAACGTTAAAGTCCAGCATTATTTTCTCCGGGCTACTGGGGATACTGGTTTGAGCCTCGATTTCTACGATCTCTGGTGTCTCAGGAGTAACCGTTTGAACACTAGTAACAGTTATAATTTTTTCCTCGATTGGCGGTGGAGTGGTTTGCGTCTCTACTACTTCAACAACTGGTTGTTCTATCAAATCCGCTTGGACGTGAAAGTCTACGGTTGTTTTTTCTGGGCTGGTGGTTTGTGCTTCGATCTCTATAGTTTTTGGTACTTCCGGTGTCACTGTTTGAACTTCGGTGACGGACAGAATTTTCTCTTCGATTGGCGGTGGAGTGGTTTGCGTTTCTACTACTTCAACAACTGGTTGTTCTATCAAATCCGCTTGGACGTTGAAGTCCACCGTTGCTTTTTCTGGGCTTGTGGTTTGCGCTTCGATCTCTATAGTGTTTGGTACTTCCGGTGTCACTGTTTGAACTTCAGTGACGGACAGAATTTTCTCTTCGATAAGTGGAGGCGTGGTTTGAGTCTCCATCATTTCAACAACCGGTTGTTCTATCAAATCCGCTTGGACGTTGAAGTCCACCGTTGTTTTTTCTGGGCTGGTGGTTTGTGCTTCGATTTCTATAGTTTTTGGTACTTCTGGTGTCACTGTTTGAACTTCAGTCACGGACAGAATTTTCTCTTCGATAAGTGGAGGCGTGGTTTGAGTCTCCATCATTTCAACAACCGGTTGTTCTATCAAATCCGCTTGGACGTTGAAGTCCACCGTTGTTTTTTCTGGGCTGGTGGTTTGTGCTTCGATTTCTATAGTTTTTGGTACTTCCGGTGTCACTGTTTGAACTTCGGTGACAGACAGAATTTTCTCTTCGATAGGTGGAGGTGTGGTCTGCGTTTCGACTACTTCAACAACCGGTTGTTCTATCAAATTAGCTTGGACGTTGAAGTCCATCGTTGTTTTCTCCGGGCTACTGGTTTGTGCTCCAATTTCTATAGTTTCCGGTACTTCAGGTGTTACCGTTTGAACTTCGGTGACAGATAGAATTTTATCTTCGACGGGTGGCGGTGTGGTTTGCTGTTCAATGGCGACCACGATCTTCTCCGTGGTTTGCGTCTCCGTTTCTATGGATGGTATTGTTGGCGATGTCTGTGCTTCAATGGAAACCATATCCGTAGTTGCAGTTTGAACCTGAATTTCCTCGGTCTTAGCTGGAACACACACGAGCTCCTTTATCGGACTAGTTTGAATACCATACTCCTCAACTTTCGTCACAGGAGATTCTGCAGTCTGGGTACTTATTTCTTCTATCTGTGGCACTTCTTCTAATACAGCTTGAACACTGAAGTCCAACGCGGAAAGTGGAGAAGTTTGCATCTCGGTGTGTTCCAAACTTGGTTCCTTTTCAGGCAGAGTTTGCACGCTTAAATCGGACACGGGCAACGGAGACGTTTGAATTTCTTTCGGTGATTCGATCATCTCAGCGACTTCGAGTGAAGTTTGCACCTCCTCTTGTTGTGTTTCCGGTACCTTCGTCTCTTCCATCAAAGGTGGTGACGTTTGTGAATACATTTCTGACGCTTCATCCTGTTTCGGTGATGTAGCGACGGAAATATTAAACTCCTGACCAGCGGTTTGAGTGTCCGCCTCGATCTTCGCGGTGTAATCTTTTACATCACCGTCCTCTCGCTTCTTCTTTTTCTTTTTCTTCTTGCTGGTCTTAACATCCTCGGTTTCCACAGGCGTCAAACCGTTAGTGAACTCCCCTTCGTCAGTAGTTGTTTTCGGGAATTCGGTTTGTTCTTCCTCCTTGAAACTTCGTATCCTCTGCTTTTTCTTCTTTCGTTTCTTCGTCCGCGTCGCGTTCTCGTTTTCTGGAGCAGTCGTCAACGCTACCGTTCTATCCGCTTCGTAACCGTCTTCACCTTCGGACGTATCTGGCTTCGAGGATAATTCTAACATTGTCAACTCAAGCATTTTCGTAACGTCTGGTTGCGGTGCTTCGCTGATATCCTTTGAGGAATCGGTTAGCGCAACGTCGATCTCCATCGATTCGGCGATGCTCGAGGCGATACTAGAGGCACTTGGTTTTGTTTCCGTGGATTTAATCGGTGACTCAATCGCGATTTCTTCTTTCTCCGACGTTTCCTTTTTCGAAGTGACGACCGCGGGTTCTGTACGCGGCGAGGTTTGAACGATCTTGTCATGTGTTACTGATTTGCTTTCCTTTTCCGCTGGCAATCTGATATCGACGTCCTCCTTGACCACGCGGTACGGAGCCGCTTCCGGTTCAGCCTGACTCTTCACAGACACCGTAGGCATTTCTTCCCCTTCCTTTTTCACGGCCAGAGATATCTCCACTTTATGAAAGATCGGTTTGTATTCTGGCTTCAGAGCTTCGTCGATGTAATCATCGACGGAGTAATCAACTTCAGGAACGAACGAGTTTTTCACTATTTGCTGTTTCACGTGAATTGGTAACGCTTGTTCAGGTTTCTTGCTCTCGATTGTTGTTGGAATCGATTCCTTAGGTAGAGAAGGTTCTCCTGAAACGTGAACTGGTTTTTGTGCCGTCGACTCTTTCGTTGTTTCAATTGCCGACTGCTTTTCTTCTATTACATCTACGGTGCCTTTAGCGTGCTTCTCTACATCTACCGTGCGATCCTCTAGTTTGATACTGGGTATCTCGCTGGTTACTGGTGCATCGACAGACTTACAGGTCGCTTTGGTGACGTCGTCCGACTCGATTGGAGATTTGGCTAGCTCTTCCTGCGTCTCGTGTATCTCTTGCTTCTGTAAAGCAGTCGACACTTCAGCGTCGATGAACGCCTGACTGGCAGAACGAATCGACTTTTCCCCATTTACCTCATGCTTAACTATCAATTCCGGTATTGCTTCAGCGGTTTCCGGTTGCACGCTCTCGCCGACTTCAGTTTGTACAAGCTGTTCTTCTTGAACTTCTCTCAGTGGACTTTTAGATTCTGCACGAGTAACTACATCAGATAGTTTTCCTTCAGTTTCCTCTTTACTTTCCAGCGATGGTCCCTTCTTTTCCGATTTGAGAAATTCCATGGTCGGATGCATGTCTTTGGCGAACGCACCAAAGAATGGTCCTTGTACTGAAACATCCTCAACAGTTTTCTCTAACTTCGAATCTTTACTCTCTTTGTCTGTAACGTCTTCGAGAACGACGCGTTCTGGTGTTTTCTCTTCGATTATTTTCCCATCGGGACCAATGCGTCTCTGATCCTCTTGTTTAACCACGTTTATGCTTATATGCGGTATATTCTTCTCGTCGATCTCGACCTCCTCGGGTTCCTCTATTATTTCTTCCGTGGCAGTTTCCTTCCCATCAATGATCGTCACCTTCCTGATGATCCTTCTAGTTTTCCTAACTACTCTTCTGGTCACTTGTTGCACCACCGCGTGAACACTCGACGTTTTTGCTTGGTATTCACCGCCTTCCATTAGAACTCCTTCCTCGAACGGTTGCGGACTGATATCCCTGATGTGCCCTTGCGTTATCATGTGCGTGTACTGTGGGGCTGACTCGAACTCTTCCACATTGACATCTTTATAAGGTGTCCCGGTGGCAACTCTTCCTCCGTAAATTTGTCTCGTCGTGGTTTCTATGGTGCCGTTTGGTTTCGTCGTAGTTAGGGTAACTTGCTGGTCTCTCATAGTAGCCTCGGAGAACGCTTGAACAGCGGAGGGAGCATCTCCGATTGCCGTGGAGGTGGAAGACACATGTTGCTGCGTGGTCTGCCTACTGGTCACTGTAGTCCGTCTTAATTTCCTCACTATTATCCTCTTCGAGCCATCTTCGTCTACCACCACCTCGGTGGTCACATCGTCTGGTTCTACCAAAACCGTCTCAAACGATTGTGGAGCCGCGTGAACGATGTTCAACTCGCTAGTGGTGTTATCGGTGTTCGTGGGGTCTTGATACTTCATATCAACGACGATGTCCTCCGCTATCGTATCAGGACGTTCTTGGACAATTTCCTGGGAGGTCGAGGCCGTGGCCAAGTTCTTCGTGGCTATTTCGATCACTTCGTGATCGCCCTCCGTGGTTTTTAAGATCTTTATCGTCTCTTGAGTCTCGACCGCTGGCTGTGCCGTGTCGATGGTTTGCGTTTCGACCACTGTCGAGATTGGAATTTGATTCGTGGAGGTTTGCTTGGTGAGACGTTGCGGTTTCTCAACATCTTCTGCTAATAAACTCTGTCCAGTTTGTAGCGAAACGTCGGCTAAGGACGGCATGCTACTCTCGAGGGATGAGTGTATCGAAGGTGCTTCATCGAGGGTAGCGTCGCCTTGGTCTGACGTTTCGTCGGCTCGCGCTTCTTCGTCGCGGAGTTCCTGAAAAGTGTGAAATGCAATTCAAGGTCCCTAAATTGTATAGTGAGCTAAAGTTCAGCCGCTAAACCGATCAAGTTAATGTAAAAATCGTAGAACTTTTGAAGTTTTGAAGAAAATCAAATAGCCCGATGATTAGATTGTGGTTTCTTATGCAAAGTAAAACGTTTATGATATCAGTTTAAAAAATGCATTTTAAATGCGATTTAGATAAATGTTTTTTATCATTTAAATATTACAACACTACAGGTTTTGATGTCTCTATATTTTTATATAGTGTGTCAATGTTCGTCTTTTCTGCACATTTAGCCTGATCATAAGTGCTGTCGATCATTCGTGGAGTATTTGAAAAAGGAAATGTAATACAACTAAATTACGATTCTATGTACATGTAATACGAGTACAATGAAACTGAAATGTTGTAGATACTAATGTTTCTGTAAACTGTACAAGAAAATATTGTTGGTAATAAAATAAAAGAGA